ATGGAATATCTCCTCCACCATCCATGGAATATCTCCTCCACCATCCATGGAGTGTCTCCTCCACCATCCATGGAGTGTCTCCTCCACCATCCATGGAATGTCTTATCCACCATCCATGGAATGTCTCCTCCACCATCCATGGAATATCTCCTCCACCATCCATGGAGTGTCTCCTCTACCATCCAGAGAAGGTGCTTCTGAGGAGCTATGGTGGAACCCAAGAGTTGCTCCGAGGCAGCCTGTTGGCTTTTATTTCATGTGGAAAATTCTCCCCTGTCCCTCTTAACCTTCTCACCCTGTCTTCATTCTATCAAGTGGAAGGAGGGCCGGCTTTAAGGCATGTCCATGTTTTTATTTCAGGAGGAGAATCGTACTGGGGAAAGCCGTTCAAAGACGAACTGAGGCCCAATTTGTCCCACACGGGGCGAGGTGTCCTCAGCATGGCCAACACAGGGCCCAACACCAACAAATCTCAGTTGTAAGTGGTGTACACGGTGCTCCTCGGCCACAATTGAGCCCAAAATATATTTTGAGAAATTTGCTCTGTGAGTTTGGCCCCCTTTTAACGACTTTTCTTGGCCACGTTTTAAGTGAATCCCTGCGGTTGTTAAGCGAATCTGGCTTCCCCGTGGGCCCGGCGTGTCAGAAGGTCGCAAAAGGGGGGAATCACGTGACACCCCCCCCTTTCCCCAGGGAGGCTGCCCCCTTCATAAAGGCGAGTCGGTGGCCAAGCCTCCCAAACGTAAATCGTGCAATGGTGGGGATGCTGCCAACGGCCTTTTTAAGTGTGAAAAAGGGTCAGAAAGTGGTGCCGTTTGTAACTTTGGAGCGCTCGCTGAGTGAACCGTTGTAAGTCGAGGACTGCCTGTGCGTACCTTGAGCTGAGAAGGAATCCCAGCTGTTTGTGTCAAACCTGGCATTGAACTCCATATTTTGGAAGCTCTTGAAGGGTTCGTTTCATGGCTCCCTTTTCTTTTCTTTCTTTTTTTCCTTTTCAGCTTCATTACTTTCCGCTCCTGTGCGTACCTGGATAAGAAGCACACCATCTTTGGAAGGTAAACTAAGACTTTTCTCTCTATCCAGGGTTGGGCTGCTGGGGGTCCACGGGGGTTCGGGAGGGTCCCCTAGTTAAGATTCTGTGCAGTTTGGAGAAACCCCCAAATCCCACTCCTGGCTGGCCCCGCCCACCCCTCCCCTCCGCTCCCAGGAGTCCCCATGGCTCTATTCTCCTATTCTATTCTATTCTTTTCTCCTGTTCTATTATTATTCTATTATTATTCTGTTGTTTTCTATTATTTATTCTATTATTATTCTGTTGTATTCTATTCTATTATTATTCTGTTGTATTCTATTCTATTATTCTATTCTATTATTATTCTGTTGCATTCTATTTATTCTGTTGTATTCTATTCTTTTATTAATCTTGTTTTCTATTATTTATTCTATTATTATTCTGTTGCATTCTATTATTTATTCCTATTATTCTGTTGCATTCTATTATTTATTCTATTCTATTATTCTGTTGTATTCTATTTTTTATTCTATTATTCTATTCTATTTTTCTGTTATATTATTCTGTTCTATTTATTCTATTCTATTATTATTCTATTCTTTTATTCTATTCTATTTTATTATTCTATTTATTATTCTATTTTCTATTCTATTATTCTATTCTATTATTCTGTTGCATTCTATTATTTATTCTATTCTATTATTTATTCTATTATTATTCTATTCTATTATTCTATTCTATTCTATTCTTATTCCATTCTAAATGGAAGCAGGCTAAACACCCCAGCTGCCTTCCATTTGGTGCTTATGATTTCACTTTGGACTTATCAGGGCCACCACCGGGTAGCCTCCTCCTGTTCCTTCCCTCCATTGGGCACGCCAGCCCCCCCCCCCCCCCCGAATTTTGAAGTTGGTTGGGCTTTTCATGCTACGTCGTCCTTACTCCGCGCGGGTTTTCTCTTCCTTTCCCCAGAGTGGTAGGCGGCTTTGAGACCCTCACTGCGATGGAGAACATAGAGAGCGATCCCAAAACGGACCGTCCCCAGGTCAGTCTCTGTGGGGCAAAAAATCAAACGGGGATGGAAACAGCCTTGGCTCGATTTAACGATTTTAACTTTGCACCAAGCAGCAGCGAAAGGCCTCTCTTTTTTTTTTTAACTTTAGGAGGAAATAAAAATTAAGTCCACAACAGTTTTTGTCGATCCATACGAAGAGGCCGATGCCCAGGTGAGAGTACAAAAAGAGTTCAGGAACTCATTTGCCAAATTACCCTCCCAAATTCTCTCATATATTTGTTTTCATTTGGCTGGTGGGAAATTCCAGAAATACTGGAATTTTTGCACGACCGGATGGGTCGGTGAGTGATCAAAAGTTTCTATCTGTTGTTCTCTCAAAAGCTGTCGGCCTGAGTGGCCACACAGAGTATAGGTAGTCCTCACCTTATGACCACAAAAGCAACCTCATTGGCTAGGAGTTGTGCCTTTGTGTGGTTGGCTTCCTTTCTCAAAAATGAGGAAGCAACAGAGGGCAAGAAAGATCTGTCTTTCCTTCCTTTTTTCTTCCTTCCTTTTCTTTTTCTTCCTTTCCTTCCTCCCTTCTCTCCATTTTTCTTTCTCCTTTCTTCCCCCTCTCCATTTTCTCTTTCCTTCTTTTCCCCTTCCTGCTTCATTTCTTTCTTTCTTTCCTTCCTTCTTTCCCTCCCTCCTTCCCCTCTCCTTTTCCTTCCTTCCTTCTTTACCTTTTCCTTTCTTCCATCCTTTCTTCCCTATTTACCTCTTTTCCTTCCTTCCCTTTCCTTCTTTCCTTTCCTCTTCCTTCCTTCCTCCCATCCTTCCTTCCCTCTTTATCTCTTCTCTTTTCCTTCCTTCCTTCCTTCCTTCCTTCCTTCCTTCCTTCCTTCCTTC